ATCAATATTACTATTTAGAGGATTTTCCTCTTAAAATAAGAAACTCTTCTTGGCGCCTATTTTAGTATAAAATATACTTAAAGTAAGTGGGATATATATATATATATATATATATATATATATATATATATCCTCAAAACAAGAATACAATTTTTTCGGTGCACAAATATTTGTATCAAACATTGGTATCAATGTGCACTAACGTGTGTACGTCTTGTACTTGAGAAAGATCTCTCTGTGAATCTTTCGGAATCATTAGACTTTATCATCCTATATAAGTCGCGTATTGTGTGCGAGCATAATGGCGTCGGCTTTCAAGAGCAGCGGCGCAATGAGAGAGAGAAGCCCCCGCTATTGAAAATAATTACGAGAGATCATCCCGATGCAATTGATACACGGAAAGTGTTCACCGCGTGAAGAATCTTCTCGTCCCCCTTTGACCGTGACTTAGACAATGTAAATAAAAAAAGAAAGAAGGTTGTTTATCGCACTTTATTGGACTTCCCGATCAAATTATGAAACGCCGCGATACTTTGGATGGAGTAACACCATGAGATGACCTATTTGCACTGATTTGGCTCAAGTGCTCGGTAGAGATCAACACATCTTGACTTCGTTTTGAGATGCGGTCACACATTTGCAGTTTCGCGATATCCCTAAGATTTTTTTTCAATCGCTCGTATTATTAACGAACAGACTAATGATCCAAACCTATGCAACAATAAATTTTTTAAAGACACGCTTTAAAAAAGCTTTAAAAAATGATGCAAAAAAACATTGGATAAATATTGTTGCAGTAGTTAAAATGGATCGTAAAAATGCCAAATAATATGTAAAACGGGCCAATACAAGCAACAATACAGAATGTTTGTGTGTATACAGATGATTTATCAATAATTTAATCACACGTTTCCGTCCTTGAGTTTCGGACCTTCATCGGTGAATCAAATCTATTAGATTACGATGAACTTACACCGAAGAAATCAAATTTCATAATCACAAATAAATCTTTAAAAAATTGTACGATAAGAAATCAAATGAAAATGAAATTTAAAACTTAACTCCGCAAGTAATAATGAACTGATGTGATATCAGTTATAATCATTATAGGGTAAAAGACCCAATTACCGTCACCTGAATAATAAACTCTGGCGTTAGTGAATTGTTTTTACTACTTATTTATCAAAAACATGTGTTTTTCTTTTTATCTGATATTATTTGATGTCTCTAATATAAGAAACAAAATAATACCGCCTCTCAAAATCTCTATTTTTATTTATAAATTTAATAATTAAAAAAGAACGATGCGAGAGCTATTACTGTCACCCCCTAAAAAGAAATGAGACACGAATGTTGAGCGCTGGATTTTTTGTTATATTAATTGCACTTAAAATTCTATATTAGATTGTTTTCATGCATAACTTTTTAGCATTTATTTAATATTTTAAATAAAATAGCTTAAGGTTACAGTAATTGGGTCTTTTACCCTAAATACCAGTATTATCAAAAAAACGGTAAAAAACCACAGAGCCTATGGTCCAGGAAGGAAGTGGACGTTCAAAATTGACATAAAAAAAAAACGTAGTGTATTCAGGACGCGTTTCAGTATTATAATTATTATAAATATCAGTGTTATATAATTATTATATATTATTATAATATTATTAGTATATATATAATAATATATATAATATATATAATATATATATATATATTTATATTATATATA